TCTAGATAGGCAGAGCCAGCTGTCAGTCACGCAGCTGGGCGGATCCCGGCACAATTGTCGGGATCCGCCCAGCTGCGGCGTCTCAGTATACCGCAAGCTGTAGCTCCCTATATACTGAGCTTAGGGTGACGGGAGGACGCTAGTTTGTGTCCCCTTTACCCTAAGGAGAACTATGGGGGAAAACACTGACCCCCATAGTTCTCCTTTAATCTTTTCCTGCAGAGGAACCCTTCAAATGGTTTTAAGATTTTACGGTTATATATCTATATATAGCTCACAGGGCATCAGGGAGATCAGTGAAGAGTAATGTAAACCGAAAAGGAAAATAAAATGTTACTGTAATTGCTTAAAAAGTGTCAGCCGGAGTTCAGATTTCACTTCACGTGCGTCTGACGAATAGGGTGGCAACCGTAGGGGCAAGGGTGGCTGCATTGCCCCTCCATACAGTGGAGTCACCCTGGGACAGGAAATGTGTTACCGGCAGGATCACCAGGTGACATCAAAGGGAAAAAAGAAAAAACTCAACTGGGCGGAAAGTAAAGATCTGCGAACACAAGAGAACGTACCCCGCCACTGCCAGAGGAGCCACCACAAGGCACGTGGAGGCACCCGGCCGCTCACCTGAAGAAGCGGAACCGGTATTGGAGTTCTTTCTGCAGCTCCTGGTCCAGCTTGTTCCGGAAGAACTCTTTCCGGTCCACCACCAGGAACTCTGTGTCCTCCATGCAGACCACCGTGGCATTCCTCCTCAGGCCTTTCAGGAGAGCCACTTCCTGAGGGCCAAGAACAGTACGCTGTATTTATCACGTGCACACGCCCAGCCCTCACCGTACACAGAGATTTCCCAGCTCGCCGGACAACAATGAAACTGGGGCAGGTCCACCGCACTGCCATAATCCCGACTAGGAGGGGTGAAGTCCAAGAACTGTGCAGCCCCCCGGATATACCCCAAGACCCGCCCACCACCGCCGCTCTCAGGGGGAAAGCGACTGCCAACAATTGGGTGGAGACTACGGCACAGGAAAGCGGAGGCTGCAGTCAGTGCACCCAGTGCTATAAGCCTGTCGGACCATCACTTCCTCCCAGGGGCGTAACTAGAAATCACAGGGCCCCATAGCAATATTATGTATGGGGCCCTGTGATTTCTAGTTACACCCCTTGCAGAGCCCACCTGAGACCCCACAGAGCCCAACTGAGAGTGACCCTGCAGAGCCCACCATAGACTCTCTATGGTGGGCTCTGCAGAGTCTCAGGTGGGCTGGTCACACCCCTTACCTTGTCACCTTCCGCCTCCTCCTCCTTCACGGTCACTGGTGGGCCCCGCCTCCTCCGTCGCTGGGCCCCGCCTCCTCCTCTGCTATTGACCCCAGGCCCTGCCTCCTCCACTGCCGGGTCCATGCTCTTACTCCGACACTGCTGGTTGTCACTGACTCTGCAGCGGCTGTGGAGAGGAACGCGCCGCCGCGCATATCACTGACAGGGATCTGAACAGCGGCGCGTTCCTCTTCACAGCCGCCAGTGACAGCCACCAGCATGAGATGCCATAGCGACCCAGGCGGCCTGCATGGCATCAGGGGGATGTCCTGGCCGGGCCCCCCTTTGCCCCGGCCCCCATTGCAGCTGCCTGTGT